CCGCCGGGAGCTGGGGGCACTCGTATGGGTAAAGGCCTTTCAGCAGGTGTGGCTCGCACTGAGAGAGGCCCCATCCCGTGAGTTCCTTCGCCCCCAGGTGAGTTCATGGTCTGCTGCCACTAGGCCTGCACACTCCCTTGGCATGTCCTTCCCTCCAGTCGAGTGGGCACCCTCTGTGTCTCCAGTCCCTGACCCTGTTCCAGAGCCCACCAGCCTCAACACCTCACCCTTTATCGGGACCCAGTGGGTCATCTGTCCTCGGGGTCCAGGGAGAGGGAGGACTGGGAGGAAGGCACCAACTGGGGCCACGGTTCCTGTTCCTGCTCCTGTTCTTGTTTTTGTGCCCAGCGCAGCAGCAGCCTCCCCAGCCAGCTCCCCAGCAGCTCGAGCCCCTGTCTGGTCTTCAGCCTACCACTGAGCTGCACCCTGTTCCTGCAGCCAAGATGCTTGAGGTTGACATCCCTTCAGCACGGGGAGGTTCTTGGTGTGCTGAGTGTCCCCACTGAAGCCCCCTACCTTCAGTGCACCGACAGAAGCGTCCCTGCCAAGGTTACCACCACCCTGGCACTCATTGTTTTCACCTGCTTCTGATTGTTTGCACCTGTTTTCACCCCATTATAAGCAGCCTTCCCCACTAGTAACCTGCTAGATTGTTTAGACTTTCCAGCATTCTTGTTATTTGGTATTTCCTGTTCTGACCCCGGATCGTGTATTTTGAGCATTGTGTTCTGCCTTGCCCTCTTGCTTTGGACTGCCTTCTGTGTACGGATTATCGGACTTCCCTCTTTGACCTCTTGTTTTGTTAATTGCTCAGCTGTGTAAGTTTGCTGGCCCTGGCCCTGGACTGTGTTTTCAACCTGACTGTGTGCATCGTGTTTTCTGTTTATGTTTTCTGTATCGTTTTGTTGTTCCGTGCTCTAATTAAAGAGACAGTTATTCACTTATCCTCGTCTGGCAATATAATTGAGTTCACCCTTGCTATTATCGGCAGCTTCACATGCCGATCCTGACAACAGATGGCTTTGCTTTCTTAAACCTAAAATTGTGAAGTAACAAGTGATAACAGCATCCATCTTTTTTTCAGAAATAAAAGGAAAGCTGTGTGTAATTTGATACATTGGACTTTGGACCATTTGGATCCAAGATGGCGCCGCTGTGTTTGGCCAGCCATCTACTCCTCCTGTGTATTTGTTTTTTTGCGGCTTTTGATGTTCCCTCTGCCTTTTCTATTTTGGTGTATGATTGTTTGACGTTGTTTGACATACGGAACTCAATGAGCAGCGGCCCATATTACTGTCATGTTCAACAAATTAATCCTCCACCACCTCTGCTAGCGTCTGTACCATCCTTTCTGCGACACTCGCACCATCTGTCACCAGTTACGCTTTGGTGGAGACGACGCGGCAGGAGAGCAGGACTACACTTCAAGCTGAAATCTGCTTTGAATCGGTCTCAGGGGATAGGTTGCTTGCCGGAGGATGGCCACAGTGGTTTAAGATGGTCGGTTAACTTCTATTACCGCTTTCTTCAACCAGTAGGCCTGGATGCTGACCCACCTCTTCCACACTTTTGTCTGGTGAAACGCTCTACTCGATGCTGTCTCCATGCCAATCTGTGCTCTGTGTCCCGCACTGTGTGCCCTCAGTTTAGCTTGCTTCAGTTTGCCCTGTTTAACGTAAGATCACTCAACAACAAAACTTTTATCCTGAATGACCTTATCACCACATACGATTTGGATATGTTTTTTATCACGGAAACCTGGCTAAAATGAGGGGATAACACCTTGTTTTCCGAGCTTTTACTGGCTGACTATTTATTTCTTAATTCCCCACGTCTCGCTGGTCGAGGCAGTGGCCTGGCATCCGTTTTAAGCCAACTTTAAAATGTCGCCTCCTGCCCGACATGGCTTTTTCCAGCTTCGAGGTATAAACTTTTGTTTTATGCCTGCACTGTCCTATTCTATGTGCAGTCATTTATTGCCCCCCTAAATCTTAGGAATTTATCCACGAATTGGGAGAGTTTTTGGCCATGTTTACTTCGCAGGCTGACTGTCTGTTGATTTGTGGGGACCTTCACCTTAAAGCTAACTCCTCGCCTGTCCACCTTCTTAATGATTTTAACATTTTATTAGACTCATTTGACCTGTGTCAGTCAGTGGTATGTTCCACCCACACTTGGGGGGCCACATTAGACTTTGTTATCTCTTGGGGTCTATCAGTTGTTATTAAGGATGTGTCAAATATAGCCATATCTGATCACTTCCTGATTCGTTTTGAAGTTTCGCCCCTCAGCTGCATCACAGGATTATTACTTCCTCTACCCCCTCTGACTTTGCTGCTGCGTTCTTAGGTTCTGAATTCTATTCCTCTGTGGTTCAGAATCCTCTGTCCTGCCCTGAGGTATTTCTCTCCTCGCTGAATTCAACTTCGGCCCAGATTATGGACTCCGTTGCGCCTCTCAGGACTAGAAGGGCTAGCAACGTATCTTCTCCTTGGCCTGACACTACCCGGTCCTTGCAGAGGATCTGTAGGCAAGCCGAACGCAAGTGGAAAAAAGACGGATTGCACGTCTTGCTGGATATTCTAAGAACTAGCCTCCTTGCCTACCAGGAGGCTGTGAAAGTCTCTAAAACTCAATTCCTGTCCAACGCTATAGCAACAAACAGTTGTAACCCGAGAGTCCTTTTTAGAACTATACACTCTGTTATTAACCCAGTCGGTGCGTTGCCCTTAGAGGGTTCTACTGCCCTGTGTAACCATCCATCCACTTTCTAAACCGCTTAGTCCCAAATGGGGTCACAGGGCTGGAGCCAATCCCAGCCAGCTGCGGGCGAGAGGCGGGGGACACCCTGGACGGGTTGCCAGTCATCACAGGACTAACACACAGACGAACAACCACTCACACACACAATCACTCCTACGGGCAAGTTAGAGACACCAATCAACCTATGCTGCATGTCTTTGGACTGCGGGAGGAAGCCGGAGCACCCGGAGAGAACCCACGCAAGCACGGGGAGAACATGCAAACTCCGCACAGAAAGGCCTTTTTAAGATATTTTGGTGATAAGGTTTGGGATCTCAGGGGCAATATGCCTAAGCCCTTAGCGTATTCAAAGCCTGTTTCACCCGTAGTTCATACTCTTAATTCCTTCACTCCGATTTCCCTATCTCAATTAAAAGAGAACTTAGCTTACTTAAAACTGACCTCTTCGCCCCTTGACTTTGATTTTGGTCATGTTCATTAATCTCTCCTTGGATACGGGTGTGGTAACCTTTTCTGTTAGTATTGGCAACTGCGTCTCTAATATAGCTCCCCTCACTTCAGGTGTTCCACAAGGTTCGACCCGGCTCCATTACTCTTTTCTCTCTCTATATATATATTTCACCTCTTGTGGCTATTATATCTAGCCATAATGTTCATTTCCACTTTTACGCAGGCAATGTTCAGATTTTTCTGCCACTGCTCCTGTCTGACTCCAGTGCACTTACCCATTGCATAATTGCATTCGGGATATTAGGCAATGGCTTGCGCTAAATTTTCTGCAGTTAAATGAGAGTAAGACCGAATACATCCTTATTAGGCCTGATGTTGTTAACCTCTGCACTTCAGTCTTCCCTCTATCTGACACGGCGAAAAATCTTGGTGTAATTCTTGATAGTGGTTTTACTTTTGAGAAACAGATTAGGGAAGTGGTCAAGTCATGTTTTTTTCATCTAAGTCTCTTATCTAAGGTTAAACCTTTTTTGTCACATGGAGATTTGGAGAAGGCTATTCATGTGTTTATTATTTCACAGTTAGACTATTGCAATGCTCTGTATGTTGGAGTTCCCCAGACTTTGCTTCAAAAACTACAACTAGTCCAAAATGCAGCAGCTCGGTTGCTATCTAACACCCCCAAGTTTGCTCATATCTCCCCTATTCTTCGTGCTCTTCACTGGCTTCCAATCCAATTCAGAATTAAATTTAAGATTTTATTGTTTGTTTTTAAGGCTATTCATGGCCTCGCACCTTCTTACTTATCTGACCTGTTGGCAATTTATGTGCCGTGGAGAGCTCTCTGCTCCGCTGATCATTTGTCGCTGGTGGTCCCACGATCCCCTTATAAGAAATGGGGCAACTGTTCCTTTTCTATTTGTGGCCCCAGACTGTGGAATGCTCTGCCAGTAGAACTACAGGCAGAAAGTGAACTAGTGGCCTTTAAGTCAGCCTTAAAAACCCACTTCTTTAAGCAGGCTTTTGAGGCCTAGCTTGTTTTATTGTTTTGTTTTAGCTTTGGTCTAGCAACAGTATTTCCTTATCTGTTTTATAGTCATTTTTTTTTCTGTGTTTTTATTGTACATCACTCTGGCACTCCTGTGAGTTGGAGAGCGCTATATAAATAAAGTTTTATTTATTATTATAAATTATTAAATAAATTATTTATATAAGCCTTCATTCTGCTGTCATTTATTTTATTTCTTGCTACTTTAGTACATACAGTATTTACTCTTAGACTTACAGTGAACCATGCCATGTGGTTATTAGCTGGGTAGACGCAGTTTAAAGCAAACCTGGTGTCCCAGCTGCCAAGCTGGTCTCCAGAAATTAGAATCAGAATCAGCTTTATGGCCAAGTGTGCTGGACATGAGGAATTTGTCTCTGGTACATGTACATATCCCCATGCAAGGCAACAGCAAGGGGCAAGTAAACAATATACTGTGACCGGGCCAATATACAGGCCTAGGCAACTCAGACCGTAGTAACTTTTAGTAGTTCCCCAAGAATAACACCCCTCCTGTTTTCAGAGGTCAAATTCATGCAAACTTCCCCAGTACTGAGCTGCTACCCCCAGATAGATCTGCCAACACAGAGACGTTGGAGTTACTCACACAGATAAAACTTTATTTGAGTCAAAGTATAATTTAACAGTGAAAATGTTTTAAGAAGACTAACCCCAGAAGCTAAAATGCTACCTATAAGAAGACGTGTCCCCCCCACTCAATAAATACAGTGCAGAACAGGAATAAAATGGTCAGAGTCAACAGGTTAAAAGGCACCATTAAATAAACACCACAAATCAATTCATCACATCAACCAAATATAAGAGGGCCTTGCCTCCCTGTGCATAAAACCATTCACACACTGTTCACACCATAAAATTGACTAAACCCTATTTAGAAACAATACAATAAACAGGGAACATAATGCTAGGTAAACCTCTTAACATAAAAGAAAACAAGGCAAAACATCACATAAGCAAAACAGCAGTGGCTATCACCCCTGCAACAAGTAAAGCCACTGTTAATAAATAGCATAGAAACCATCAAAACAATTAAAACCAACAGTGCTACAGGTTACCTTGGCTGCACGTCACCCTGGCACAGCATGTGCGATGGACACCAACTTCTGCTGGATCACGCTTGCATCGATTATCATCCCAAAGAGCATGCAGTAATCCCCTAAAAACAGTCTACAACCAAACCAACCTACTTAAGCACTGTACACTACAACAGATCCGACCTACAATCAGTCCGTTGGACATACCTTAAAGGAGAAGCAGGACACAGCTCGATGGAGGGAGATTCACTTCAGACTGGTTACGGCAGCGACCAGCACAGACATTGCTTATTGCAACAGCATCTCCCCAGGTGTTATTTATATCGATGATTATTCTGACAAATTACTAACCAGGCGGTGTAGGCGTGGCCAACCCGCCGGTTACATCACCAACATAAGGCTGTGTAGTATAACAAAATAACCAGGCAGTAAACAATGAAGTCAGACAAAGGAATGTTCATTGGGAGGCGAGATAAAAATGGAGTACTTAAAAATAGAGACCTGTATAATCTGTACAATGTATATTTACAGGTATTGCACTGAGGGTTATTGTCCAGTCATACTGTCATGGGTTAAGTGTTAATCAGAGTGATGGCTCGGGCGAAGAAACTGTCCTTGTGCCTGGTTGTCTTGGTGTACAGTGACCTATAACACCATCCAGAGGGGAGGAGTTCAAACAGATTGTG